ATCAACCGACTTCTATCTGGACATATTTACAACATGGCTGCTCCTTCTGCTAACAAATTCGTGACACTCAGCAACGCACAATTCATTTCTATTTACAGACTGAGAACCACACTGCAAAAGGCAGAATAAACATACTGATAGAATGTCACTGTTTCTGCTCATATTAGATATATCAGGAATTTATAACAAATTTTAGGCTTGTTCAAAAGATTAGAAAAATTGCATATAAAATAAAAGTTGTATAAAATAGAAAACAAGTCAACATTCTTGACTAAAAGCGAATATTCCATTAACCCAAAAATGCATGCATATTGTCAGTGAAGTACGACAATGCTTAACGCATTGTAAGCCGCCCTGAAGAATTTGATATAAATCAAATTTTAAAAAAAAAAGTAGTTCATAAAGGTGGAGCCGAGAATGAAAAGCCCATCCATCTAGTATCTCCAAGGCCAAACTTGGAGGTTCAGCATGAAGAGCAGACCTGCACAACTTGTAGAGGCAAAAAGGTCTCATTGATAAAATTAAAAATTATTGTCAGCTGCAAAATAATACTTGGTGCACCAAATTCGCTGTTCGGCAGCTAGCAGAACAGCAGCACCACAAGAACTGGCAGCACTGAGGACACCTGGAGGCATTGGAAGCCCTTCACAGTCTGTCTTTAGGGCTGTTGGCAGCACTTCCTGGTGGCAGCGACATTTGGCAGTGACAAATTTACTCAGCTTTCAAAAACCACTATTGGGATGCACAAGGCTACTTAGCAGGCCATAGGTGACCCATGAGCTGTAATGTTGTCTCCTAAATGGGAGTTTGTGAACCTTCTAAAACACATATTTCAGTGGTTTGCTACTAGCTAAAGCATAGTACAGGAAAAACATTTATAATAGCCTTGCTTACTGTCTAGATCAGGGATGTCAAACTCTGTTTCATTGAAGGCCGCATCAAGGTTGTGTTTGACCTTGGAGGGCTGGGGGTGGGCGTGGCCAGCTCGACATCACTCGTGTCGGGGGCACCTGTGGTGGCCAAGTGCTAAGCCAGGACTTCTCTGAGACCCTCCCTCCCTTTCATTATAATATCCTTCCTTCCTTCCTTCCTTCCTTCCTTCCTTCCTTCCTTCCTTCCTTCCTTCCTTCTTTCCTTCCTTCCTTCCTTCCTTCCTTCCTTCCCTCTTCCTTCTTTCTTCTTCTTTCCCCTCATTCCTTATTTCTCCTTCCTTGCTCCCTTCCCATCTTTCCTTCTTTGTCTTTCCCCTTTTCCTTTCTCCTTTCCTGTCCTTCTTGCATGTTCAAATGCAAAGGGGGAAACATTTCTCCTTTTGTTTTGTTTTTACTTAATTTTGATAGCCCTCTGCCAGCGAAAAACAGAGCCCCTGTTTTTCGCTGTGACAACCTCCTGCAACCTTCTGCCAGTGAAAATGGGACGCGGAGGGCTGCAAGCTCCATTTTTGCTTGCAGAGGGTTGCAGGAGGCTATTGTGGCCAAAAACGGGACACTGGGGGCCACACACAGCCCCCTTGAGCTCCATTTTCATTGGCAAAGGCACCGTGGGCCAGTTCTTTGCTGTTTCCAGGCTGGCCTCACGGGCCAGATGTAAGCATCCCGTCAGCCGGATCCAGCCTGCAGACCTTGAGTTTGACACCCCTGATCTAGATCTTTGGAGTCACAACTCTCCTTAATACTATTCAGAAAGGGCAAAGGTCAAGGAACTGAACTCCATATCTGGAAGAATTACACTGAAGAAATTTTGGCTAGATGACAGCACCTTTTACCACCTACTGAGCTTTGATCATGTCAACAACTATTCATTCCTTACCATTTGAATCTTACTACTAGCAAATACAATTATTAGAATGATCAGCAGAGAAGATCATTCCACGACTTTCACCATCATTCAAGAGAATAATGGCAACAGCCATAGTGGGAAGAGAGGTGTCCGCCTGGAAATTTTGTTAGGATGACTGACTCTGAAACATCTCTCTAGTTCCAAGAGCTAGGAGGCAGGAATAGTGCCAAGAGATCAAATCATGAAAACCAAGCCAAAAAATAATAATAATAATAATAATGGTAAAGAACAGGATCAAATTCATGTTCAAAAAGGAGGTCTTTTTGTAAGCCTTCCAATGGGACTTCAACAGGTGGGATCACTTCAGAATGTGAAAAGTACGTACAGTTCCAAATGGTAGTTCTGATAGCTCAGAACTGTGATGGCGAACCTATGACACGCTGCCACAGGTGGCACGCGGAGCCATATCTGTGAGTACATGAGCGTTGTCCTAGCTCAGCTCCAGCATGCATGCGTGCGCCAGCCAGCTGATTTTCAGGCCTTCTGGGCCCACCGGAAGTCAGGAAATGGGCCGTTTCTGGCCTCTGGAGAGCCTCCGAGGGGGTGGGGAAGGCCGTTTTTGCCCTCCCCAGGCTCCAAGAAAGCCTCTGGAGCCTGAGGACAGTGAAAAATGGACCTACCGGGCCCACTGGTAACCTTTTGCCATTGTGTGCCAAAAATGGGGGGAGCATGGTGGGAGGTCGCACGCGCATGTGCGGGCGGAGGGGCCCAGGGGGCATTGAATTATGGGTGTGGGCATGCATGTGTGCAACCTCCCACGCGACCCCTGCTTTTGGCACGCGACAGCAAAAAGGTTAGCCATCACTGGCTCAGAACATAACAAAACTATAATTTGAGAAATTCTGGTTGTTATTCTAGCAAAATAGAAGCTGACTGCCTTTGTAACTTCTACTTTGTATGCTTGTCATCCTTGTTTACAGGGGGGAAAAGTTCCTTATCACAAATACTTACTTACCTGTCACTGCCTACAGGCTCCCTCTTAAGAAATTTCTTGATCTGTAAGCCCAACAAGACTTTAGAAAAAGGAAATACATCTATTCTCAGTTCTTTACTTTGTTTTGAGCATATACATAAAATGAAGGCATCTTCATAGCCGCCATATGTTGAATGAGTCTTCACTTTATGGTTTATGGGAGGAAACTGTCATGTCGGGATTGTTTTGATTAGAGGATGGTAGCAAAATTCACACGGATGCTGTAGGCATGCAAATGTGCAAAACTGTAGATGGGGCCACAGTGTTAGTACTAACGTCTCCTTCTCTACACCTAACTTTGTGCTGGTGACCCTGCTGCTACTCATGCATAGATTCATGACTTTCTTATTTCCTTAAATAAAGTCCAAGCAGATAATTTTTTCCATCTAATCTTCTTTTGGGAAGGAGGCAACCCTGTAAAATCAAGAGTCCTTTTTTTATGGGGTGAGTAGTATATCAAGCCTCACCTATCATGACAGTACTCACGCCCATTGAACCAACCAACCAAAAGTGAAATATTCCTTGAAGTCCAATCAACATCTATTCAAGGTCTTTATCGAATCGTTTGCAAATCCAAATTACAATGGATTTCCATCATCCATTAAATCATCAAAACCAGAGAGAACAGTAACAGCTAATGAAAAGTGAAGTGACAACTTTGGAGTGACAACACTGATGGTGAATAAAGTAAACATGAAAATCCAATATTGCGCCTGAAAGAATTTGCAAGATGCCATGTTCCTAATTTAAAATGTTTTTCTTGTCATTTATCTATAGAATATATATCTATTACTGCATACAATATCTACAAATCTGCATTTGTTTAGCAATAAAACAAATAAAATAAAATAAAATAATAATAAATAATAAATTAATAATAAACAAATAAATTTGTTTAGCAATAAATAAAATAAAATAAAACAAATAAAATAAATTAATAATAAATAATAAATTAATAATAATAAACAAATAAATTTATTTAGCAATAAAACAAATAAAATAAAACAATAAAATAAATTTTTCGGTTTTTTAGTTAATTGGCCTTAAATGTAATACTTTTAATAATTTTTTAAATTTAAATTGTGATATTTGTATTGTGTTTTTACCTGGCTGTACACCGCCCCGAGTCCTTCGGGAGAGGGGCGGTATAGAAATAAAATTATCCTTATCCTTATCCTTACTCACATTGGAAGGACATGTAAGCCGCCCTGAGTCTCCGGAGAAGGGCGGCATATAAATCGAACCAATAAATAAATAAACAAACAAACAAACAAACAAACAAACAAATAAATAAATAAATAAAGACCCCTTGGATACAATATTTAATACTAGCATATCGGTGCTCAGTGATGATCCCAATTCTACAAAGCCGAATAGATCTTCTATTGCTGAGGATCTCTTTCAGCCTTCTGTATTTGTATGTGATCCAAATAATGCATAGCACATGAACATGGAAATACTAACACCTGGGTATTTTTTTCTTCTTCTTTCTAGCATTTTTCCACAAGTGCAGGATTTATTCATCTGTTTTGGAAAGAACATGCTTTGTCTAGTGGTACGCCCCTTTTTGGAAAACCAAAACATTCTGAGTGACATCCCACATCAACATTCAGTAGACCTGTGCATACACCACAGCCCCAATGGCACCTTAGAATTACTCTTCCTATACATTGGCCCTGGATACCATTCTCTATAGCACTACAGAATTGATTCAGAGCTCTGAAATGACCCTGGTGCCTTTTTGTGCCACTTGTAAACTTGGAGCTTTTAATCTCCCTTGAATTTCATCTGTGACATAGCTATACATACTGTAAACCCATTAGACCGAAATATATTTCATGGAAGCCAGCAGGACTAAATTGAATTAGACACAAGTGATTTGGTTTCCCACGCTTAAGTAGCTGCTTCCTGATTTTTAACCCAAGTCATCTTGGCCCTATTTAAGGGTTTTCCCTCCTGCTTTATCTCCAGAGCATCTCTTCCAAATATACCCAGCAGACAAAATCATTTCTCATCCTATACAAACAAGCAAAGAAGACACTGCATTTTCCAAAGGCTGATTTGTAGGTTCCTCGTCATATAAAAATTTCATTTGATCATTTGTCCCCCAAGAGGATGGACAGAAAAACAGAAAATCTTTTGCAAAGAAGGGAAGATGTCAGACAAGGGAAAAACAGAATCGACTTACACCTTTTGATGTGAAATTATTCTTCTGGAGTCTGTCAGCAGGAAAATAACTAGCCCATTTCTCTCTGGCACTGTTGCTCCTGTCTGTTCTATGGACATAAGAAAATAAAGGTATTGAGAGGCAGGCGAAATGCAGCGACAGAACTGAGGATCTGGCAATGCAGCTGACTTGCTTAGGCTCAGATAAAGCCCTTGGAAGGATAAAGATGCTGCAGGTATCAAGCAGGTAGAGAAATACCTTTCAGGAAGCAAAAGATGCTTCTCTGGGAGAGGCTTCTACCCCTTTCCTTGCGTAATAGCAAGAGGTGCTCTGTATCTCTACCTCTGGCATACTACCAGCCAGAATTTTAAAACGATGTCTGTGGGGTCCTAGTGCTAGTGGTTGCAGTTATTTCTTGTTGCAATCGCCTACTAAGTTGCTTCTGAAGACAGAGAAAGGTGTAAGGTGCTTACATCGGAAGCAAAAAAAACCCAGATTTGGTTCAAAACCACTCTTGAGTCAAATCTCCTCCCCTATGAAAACCTTTTAGAAAGTACATAAAGGGGGAGATTGCATTAGAGTAAAAAAGAACAAATGTCTTAGAAAATCAATAGGACTGATATATTATAATCATAGGGATGGGGAGGAGGAAGAGAGACAGACAGACAGACAGACACAGACAAATAGAAAGAGAGAGAGAGAGAGAGAGAGAGACAGAGAGGGATGGTTCAAGTCCTGCCTTATTATAGTATAATATATCTATAAAAGATATTCTCTTTTTCTCTCCTATATCTGCCCTTCCTTTCCCCCCTCTTCTCATCTTTTTAATTTCATATTATTATAGTTCCACTGTTCATGTGTATTGTTTTGTTCCTTTACTATTGTTATTTTTACATTTTTTATGACTCTTTCCCTCCATTTTATTGTTTTAAGCTGCTCAGAGTAGACCCATGAGAAGATGGGCAGCAAATAAATTTAACAATTGAAATAAAATAATAAATAAAGGGATGAGATTGTATATACAGATATATAATCAATAATTATAAGTAAAAATGTAAGCAAGGATGTATATATATATATATATATACATGGGAGGTTTCAATGAGGGAAGATAGAATCTTTCCAAAGGTATCCATGGGGTACCAATGGGGAAAAAAATCAAGATGGTGGCTTCAGCAAGGGGTTTTCCATGCTTTCTATGGCATTGCTCATTGTCATGACCAACATTTTGACATTTCACCATCCTCTACAGACCCCACTGGATTTTACACCAGTATATTTATTTATTTTTAACCAGAAGGTTATCTAAAGGCATTGTCTTGTATACTGGAAAAATATGTGCACATGTTGGAAAATTAGCTCTCCCTCCCTCCCTCCCTCCCCCTCCTCCCTCTTTCTCTCTCTCTCTCTCTCTCTCTCTCTCTCTCTCTCTCTCTCTCTCTCTCTCTCTTTGTTTCTCTCCCTCTCTCTCTCCTATTCTTCACATGCTCTACTTAAGAATATAAATGTTGGCATACAGATTAGAAAGAAAACAACACAAACCTCTTGCTCATTACATTCAAATATATGCATGTCTCTGTCAGGCTTATAAACAAGTCTGCAGGGTAAGCTTACAGTAATAGCTTATACTGCTAGTCAGAAGGGACTTAGATTCCTTGCTTTGCTGTCCTCCATTAACGATGGTAATCCTGACTGTTTATGGCCATTAAGCGAGAACCACACAGATCATTAAGCGAGGATGTTATGTGGTTGCCAGCTGTGACCCCCTGCCAGCTTCCCCACTGATTTTGCTTATTAGACAAGGGCAAAGAGGATCACAAATGGCTACCACATGACTGCTGAATACTGCAACGGTCAGAAATTCAGGCTGATTGCTAAATGCCTGGATTGTGATCTCATGACCATAGGAACCCTGTGATTGCCTTAACTCCAAGGATTGGTCATAGGTACTACTCATTTAGCGCCATCACAATTTTAAATGGACACCGAACGAGTGGTTGTTAACCGAAGACCAACTGCACAGAGGTTCTGTTTTTTGGAAAGAGATGGAAGTTAACTCCCTATTTTCAACCAGCTGGCATATTAACCTACTTTGAATACCATGCAACCATGTTTGGGCTCAGATGCTAAACAAGTGGGGCATGAAGTAGAGTTTACCAGAACTGGGGATTAGGATGGAAAATCCAGAACTATCCTAGAGAAAGACAGAGGCAAACCATTCTAAACTGCAAGGCCCATAAAACAGCATCATACCAAGAATGGAGCTCCACTACAAAAGAGTTTTTACTGTTTTTGTGTCCGGACCAATTACTGAGGTAAATTAAAGAAATCCAATTTAAATTTAATTAAATAGATTCTAATTAAATAAATAGAAGAAATATTGGTGGGGGTAACGTTTTCCCTCAGCTCACAGTAAGATATAGAAAGCACAAAATCCAGAAGCTGATCACATCTGAGAAATTGCTTTTTATATTTATAACTTTCACTACCATTATATCCACTACTTCTGTGCCTAAATTACCTGATCCATGACATCATTTTACTCAAAAACACATTTATTTTAAACAAAAAAAAAAAATGCAGCCAGGTGCAGTCACATTTCACTTAAAGAGATATTTATCTTGATCTTACAACTGGCATATTGGTTGCATCATTAGCCTCTATCAAATTTCCTTCATACTGCAGAATAGAGAAGAGATCACCTGGTGTCCTACTTTCTATTCTGTTTTCTATTATTTCAGTTTCTATTCTACAGCCAAGAGCCATGATGGCGCAGGGGTCAGAATGCAGTATTGCATTCTGGCGCAGTGGTCAGAATGCAGTATTGCAGTATTGCAGGCTAATTCTGCTGACTGCCGGCTGCCTGCAGTTCAGCAATTCAATTCTGATCGGCTCAAGGTTGACTCAACATTACATCCTTCCAAGGTCAGTAAAATGAAGACCCAGATTGTTGTGGGCCAATATGCTGACCATGTAAACTGCTTAGGGAGTTGCTAATTACTCACAATATTATTTTTATTGGCTTTTGAAAATTCTGTGCCTTTTGGGATGGATGGATGGATGGATAAATGGATGGATGGATGGATGGGGACACTTTGATCTAATCTACATATTTATCTAATCTGAAACTTCTGGCTGTGACTGGGTGTGTGCTGGATACTAACTAAACATAACCATTTTCCAAAATAAAGTACTGCATTGGGTTGAGGTCCGATTAGGTGATCTTGGCCTTTGGCAGGTTTTATTGAGGCATATTTTAAAATAAATCTGCTGAGCTATCTTTTATTTGTTCTAGAGCATTGTGTTGTTGTTTTTTAAAAGAAAAAAGAAATACTGCTTTTGATGAACTTCAGAAGAATCTCATACAATCTTTAAAGAAAAAAACATGATGTACAGATACAGAGAACATTATTCTTCTGCATCTGTACATCACATTTCCCCCCAAGATTATAAGAGACTGTTCTTGCCTAAATAATATTCTACAATTTAAACCCCTTTGTGGTAACAAGGTGGTAGCTCAGTTCTGGATCCAGAAAAATATTAAACTATTTTTCAGATTCGACTTTCCTCTCTTTTATATTAAGAGAAAGTAAAATGTCTTGAAAGAGGCAATGTTGAAAGGGAGAGAACTAAAAATAAATGAGTAAAAGTCAGCCATTTCTCACTTTTGACCCTGAGGAATAGGAAACATTTTCCTAGAACAGGTTTTCAAGTAAACTTTAAAAGGGTTGGATTATTCTTAGGAGCCACAAGCATCAAAGGGCTGTTGCAACCAGTTGTTCAAAACCCCATATCTGTCTGTCTGTCTGACTGTCTGTCTCTCTCTCTCTCTCTCTCTCATCTATCATCTACTTACCTACCTATCTCTCCATCTCTCCATCTCTCTCATCTATCTATCTATCTATCTATCTATCTATCTATCTATCTATCTATCTATCTGCAGGGACACGGTAGCTCAGTGGTTAAGACATTAAGCTTGTCTATCGAAAGGTTGGCAGTTCAGCGGTTTGAATCCCTAGTGCCGTGTAACACGGTGAGCTCCCATTACGTCTCCCAGCTTCTACCAACCTAGCAGTTTGAAAGCACATAAAAAATGCAAGTAGAAAAATAGAGACCACCTTTGGTGGGAAGGTAACAGCATTCTGTGCACCTTTGGCATTTAGTCATGGCAGTCACATGACCATGGAGATGTCTTCGGACAGTGCTGGCTCTTCAGCTTTGAAATAGAGATGAGCACCGCCCCCTAGAGTTGGGAACGACTAGCACATATGTGCGAGGGGAACCTTTACTCTGTCTGTCTGTCTGTCATCTATCTATCTATCTATCTATCTATCTATCTATCTATCTATCTATCTATCTATCTATCTATCTATCTACAGTATCTATCATCTACTTACCTACATATCTCTCCATCTCTCTCATCTCTCTCTCTCTCTCTCTCTCTCTCTCTCTCTCTCTCTATCTATCTATCTATCTATCTATCTATCTCTCTATCTACCAGGGCCGGATTTTCCTATAGGCTAACTAGGCTTCAGCCTAGGGCCTCAAGATCAAGAGGGGCCTCAAGATCAAGAAGGGCCTACATTCAAATTGTTAGCAAAATTAAAATTACACTTTCATTATAGGTGAAAGGGCCTCCTAAGTGGAATAGCCTAGGGCCTCTTTTCATCTAAATCCGGCCCTGTATCTATATCTAACTTTGTAATCAGCTATCTCCCTTGTAGAGGGACTCTGGGCAGTATACAATTTAATCAATGTAATAAAACATTAAAAACTGAATAATTAAGATTTTTTTTTAAAAAAATGTAAAACATTATCAAATTACATTTTTGGTGTGTGTGGTGGGCATCACACACATGTGAAAGGAGGCAAGGCTTCCATTCTTGCTGTGCCCACCATTTCAAGGCTGTTGAAGCAGGAAATTTCCCTCCCCTCAGCCTCAGCAAGCATACCTAAGGATGCTGACTGACAGGCATGGCCCAAACTGAGAGCAGAAAATTAAGAATTGTCCTCAAATTAATTTACAGTAACTAAACCTAACAAGCATCAAACAGTCACCTCTCCAGGGAAAGCCAGGTCTAAGCAGCCGTTGGACAACCAGTAAACAGGCTGCTCAGCCTTTCTCTTAGAACTAACGAAGACGTTCAAAAGGTCAACTGTCCCAACCGTCTTAGAATGGAATGTATTCAAATATATAACAGAGTTCTTCAAACAGTTGCTGAAAAGAGAGGAAAAAATAACAGGCATCTTCAAAAAAATCCCTCCTCCTTTTATTTTTATTTTTTTTTCTTGTTTTCAAGAAAATCTAGAAGCTACCATTTATTTATATATTTATTTTAGGCCACTGTGGATATCCATCAGGGATAGGGTGTTGCCAGCAGACATCACTTGTCTGTGTTCTGTTTTGCTATTCTTGTGGTTTGTGAATGTTGTTGCAGAGAGGTAATTGAAGGCAAATAAATGCATTAAATCAGGCAGAGATGGCCTGGACGACTGAGAATCTCCATAGACAAAATCAGGCAGAGGTTCTATGCACCTCTTTTCTTTTCCTTTTCTTTCTTTACTAAAAAAAAAAAAAAAGGGTCAAAATTGCATTACGATATTTTTGTGTTTTTGTTTTCTTTCAATTTCTTTAATGGTATTTTAATGGTCAATCAAGGAAACAAATCAATGGATCGTGGAATAGATCACCACGCAGGCAGTCAAGGCTAAAATGATGAGACTCAGATTACCCTCCACACATTATGTGAAGATTTAGTGAGGAAGAGGAGGAGGAGAAGGAGGAGGAGGAGGAGGAGGAGGAGGCGGTGGCTCTAATGCTGGTAAGAAAAATGGAAGGAAAGTGAAGAACAGGATAACTAACAGCAAGGTGGATAGATACAGTGGTGACAGGGCACTGTTAGAAGACTTGAAATATCAGGTTAAGGTCACATCAACACGGAGAAAGACTATTTATGTGACTGCTAAGAGTTGACAATGACTTGATGGCACCCAATTAGTTCTAATAGTGCTCTACTCCCAAATCATTCTGAGTCAAATAGCAATTTGCTCATGGACATTCAGCAGTAGAAGTCTAGCTGATCTTTGAGCGCTACAAAAGTTGTGGCTGGAGGCTGCATGCCCCATACAGGCCCTGCAGCTCCTCTCTTCTCCTCCAGTACTACATAGATGAATAGTCTCGACCAATGTTTCTCAAGCCTGGCAACTTTAAGATTATGGACTGGGGAATTCTGGGAAATGAAGTCCATACATTGTAAAGTTGCCAAGGATGAGAAACGGTGGCTCATTCTGTTGTTCAAAATCTTCCATGACCAAGCTGGTATACCTTTAGTATGGTGTTTGAGAACTCAAACCTACTGTCCTTGAGAATTTAACATTTGTGCTAGGGCCAGTTCAGGATTTGTCTTTATGGAAGCCACAGATCAGTCCAACTGTTAACGGGATTGTAACATATGGCTGGTCACATCCTTGAGTTGGATTTTGCTGGAAGAGAGGAGGCTGAGGCCTGGGTATTGACGGAGTTAAATATTATTCAATTGTCATGGTCAGTCCTCAATTGAGTTTGATATGTTGACATTGTAGTCTAGCTGAGGGAGACATTAAGATAGGCCCTTCTGTAAACCGATAGAAAACCTTATTAATTATAAAATGATTTGGGGAGTTTTCCATTCTTAGTTCTCATACAGGAATTGTGGGACATGGATCTCTCCCTGATTTACTGGGAAGATTTGGTTGATTAAAGAGGCCAGAAGGAAATTAC